ACCTGAAACTGTTCTTAACCTGAAGCACCACTTTAGCTAATGGGGCCTCCCGCTGCCACCTCACAATGTCTGTTCTCATCCTTAAGCAAAGAGGTACTATTTCTGGGTTAGCGGAGTCTGTAACCTGAAGCGCCTGTAACCTGAGGTACCACTGTAATAGAAAACTCACAAGCAGGACGCAAGCACAAGAGCAACTCTCCCCGAAACTCTGGCGAGAGGATATACGATTTACTGCCTCATATACAATTCAAGAAAATTTTGTAAAGATGTTCTATTGGTGGTACTTAACGCCAGTTAAGGTGGCAGAGATATATAAATTGAAATCCAACCTCTGTTGGAGATGTGGAGAAACAGGAACAACAATACATATGTGGTGGAGGTGTGAAGAAATTAAGAGATTTTGGATAGTAGTACATGAAGAACTAAAGAAGAAACGACCTTGACAGATTAGAGAACTGGGCCAAAACAAACAAGTTGAACTTTAACAGGGAGAAATGTAAAGTATTGCACTTGGGCAAAAAAAAATGAGAGGCACAAATACAAGATGGGGGACACCTGGCTTGAGAGCAGTACATGTGAAAAGGATCTAGGAGTCTTGGTTGACCACAAACTTGACATGAGCCAACAGTGTGACGCGGTAGCTAAAAAAGCCAATGCAATTCTGGGCTGCATCAATAGGAGTATAGCATCTAGATCAAGGGAAGTAATAGTGCCACTGTATTCTGCTCTGGTCAGACCTCACCTGGAGTACTGTGTCCAGTTCTGGGCACCACAGTTCAAGAAGGACACTGACAAACTGGAACGTGTCCAGAGGAGGGCAACCAAAATGGTCAAAGGCCTGGAAACGATGCCTTATGAGGAACGGCTAAGGGAGCTGGGCATGTTTAGCCTGGAGAAGAGGAGGTTAAGGGGTGATATGATAGCCATGTTCAAATATATAAAAGGATGTCATATAGAGGAGGGAGAAAGGTTGTTTTCTGCTGCTCCAGAGAAGCGGACACGGAGCAATGGATCCAAACTACAAGAAAGAAGATTCCACCTAAACATTAGGAAGAACTTCCTGACAGTAAGAGCTGTTTGACAGTGGAATTTGCTGCCAAGGAGTGTGGTGGAGTCTCCTCCTTTGGAGGTCTTTAAGCAGAGGCTTGACAACCATATTTCAGGAGTGCTCTGATGGTGTTTCCTGCTTGGCAGGGGGTTGGACTCGATGGCCCTTGTGGTCTATTCCAACTCTATGATTCTATGATTCTAAAGAAGATGTTGAAAATATCAATAACAAAGAAACCAAAGACATGTCTCCTTGGATTGATAGATGAAGAGAGACCGCGGGGGAAAGAAAGAACTTTTCTATATGCCAGTACAGCTGCTAGAATAGTGATTGCTGCTAGGTGGAAGTCACAAACTATACCCACAAAGGAGCAATGGATTTGTAAACTAAATGAATATTTACTTTTGGCAAAATTAACCACTATAATAAGAAATCAGTCGAATCGAAAATTAAAAAAGGAGTGGAAATGTGTTGATGCATATATGGCAAAACATTGCTCAAAAAAAGATACGCTAATATGCCTAGATTGAAATGTGAAGTACTGGGTGGAAGAAAAATGAGTCAGGAAAGATAATAAGAATATATAGATGATTTGAGAAGATGGTAGAATGCAAAGATTATTGTAAATTGTATAATGTGGAGGAAATTGAGTGGGGGCGGAGGGAAGTGGGAGGAAGGAGAAAAGAATAATATGATGAATTGAGGAAATGTAAATGTATGGGGGGATGGGGAGGAAATGGTGTTGGCTTTGGTACATCTGTATTGTAATGTAATATGTGAAAACCAATAAAAAAGAAAAAGAAGAAGAAATAATAAATCACAAGAGCAACTCTCCCCTCCTGTGGTTTCCAGAAACCAGCATTCAGAAGCATTGCTTCTGTGGACCAGAGCAGAGCCACCATGACTAACAGCCTTTGATAGCCCTCTCCTCCTCCTCTGTGAATTTGTCTCTTTTAAAGCCATCTAGGTTGGTGGCCTCCTGTGGCAGGGAGTTCCATAGTTTAACTCTGTTCTGCATGAAGAAGTCCTTCCTTTCACCTGTCGCGAATCTTCCAGCATCCAGATTCATGAGATGTCCCTGATTTGTAGAGTTAGGAGAGAGGGAGAAAAAGTTTTCTGTATCCGGGGTTGGCGAAGGCAAGGCGAGGGAGAAGAGCTGGAGGAGGCAACTGGGTGCGCTCTTCCCACCTTGGATCAAATCTATGCTTCCAGGTGCCATAAGAAGCCATAAGAAAGCTGCAGAGATAGCACAGGATAGTACGCACCCCGGAAATGATCTCTTTCAGCTTCTGCCTTCTGGAAGAAGGTAAAGGTAAAGGGACCCCTGACATCAGGTCCAGGCGTGACCGACTCTGGGGTTGCGGCGCTCATCTTGTTTTACTGGCCGAGGGAGCTGGCGTACAGCTTCCGGGTCATGTGGCCAGCATGACTAAGCCACTTCTGGCGAACCAGAGCAGCGCACGGGAATGCCGTTTACCTTCCTGCCAGAGCAGTACCTATTTATCTACTTGCACTTTGACATGCTTTCAAACTGCTAGGTTGGCAGGAGCAGGGACCGAGCAACAGAAGCTCACCCTGTCGCGGGGATTCGAACCCCCGACCTTCTGATTGGCAAGTCCTAGGCTCTGTGGTTTAACCCACAACGCCAGCCGCGTCCCACAGGGTTATAAAGACTAGGAGTAGCTGCCTGAGAAACAGTTTCTATCCAAATGCGATTTTGGTTTTAACCGCAGTATAAGGAGTAAGGGACGTGGGTGGCGCTGTGGGTTAAACCACATAGCCTAGGACTTGCTGATCAGAAGGTTGGCGGTTCGAATCCCCGCAACGGGGTGAGCTCCCATTCCTCGGTCCCAGCTCCTGCCAACCTAGCAGTTTGAAAGCATGTCAAAGTGCAAGTAGATAACTAGGTACCACTCAGGCGGGAAGGTAAACAGTGTTTCCGTGCGCTGCTCTGGTTTGCCAGAAGCGGCTTAGTCATGCTGGCCACATGACCCAGAAGCTGTACGCCGGCTCCCTCGGCCAATAAAGCGAGATGAGCGCCACAACCCCAGAGTCGGCCATGACTGGACCTAATGGTCAGGGGCCCCTTTACCTTTTTAAGGAGTCTCTATGGGAGTATATTGTATTTAAAAATGGGGTATCAGAGTTTTTAGGGGGCTAACCAGGTGGGGATAGCAGGGATAGCAGACTTGTTGGTTTTTGAATGTCCTGTGTAGATTTTTTAATTTCGTTGTTCTGTATGGGACAACGACAATAAAGATTATCGTATCGTATCACCCTGGGAAAAGCTGGTTTTGCTGGGTGTTGTTCGGGACGAAGTGTTTTTCTGTGCTCAGCCCTCCCGAAATGTTCCCAAGCAGAGCGACTGGCAGGCTGGCCGGAGGAGGAAGGGGATGGAGCGACAGGGCGTGGGAAATCTGCCCTCCTACAGGTCTGGGCTGCTCTACTCACGAGAAATCACACAGCACATCCCCCATTAGCAACAATAACTCTGTTGTTCCTTGCAGGCCAAGGAAGCACTGGCTTTTCCCTTTAGCTGTAGCCAAGTGCAGGGGGAGGAGGGCCGGATCCTGACCTTGCCTGAGAGTTAGCTGGGGAAGACAGTCGCTAGGCTGTGGCTGGGCATCTGTGTCACTAGGATCAGGCCATCCAAATGATTGAGGAGCTCCCCTGCGAGGAAACGCTTGCAGCATTTGGGACCTTGCAATGCAGTGAAATGGTTTTCAGCCGTTAAATGGGTATGACATGGCCCTTGTAGCAATCCAAGTTCCACAGACCAGAGTGTCTGAGTGGGCAGATATCCTAGAATCTTAGAATTGTGGTGTTGGAAGGGACTGAGGGTCATCTAGCCCAACCCCCTGCAATGCAGGAATCTCAACATGCAGGTCCCCCACCCAATTTGAAACCACACCAGACTCTGCTTAGCTTCAGTTGCAGGAATCACAACGAAAGCATCCCTGACAGATGACCATTTGTCATAGAATCATAGAGTTGGAATAGACCACAAGGGCCATCGAGTCCAACCCCCTGCCAAGCAGGAAACACCATCAGAGCACTCCTGACATATGGTTGTCAAGCCTCTGCTTAAAGACCTCCAAAAGGAGGAGACTCCACCACACTCCTTGGCAGCAAATTCCACTGTCAAACAGCTCTTACTGTCAGGAAGTTCTTCCTAATGTTTAGGTGGAATCTTCTTTCTTGTAGTTTGGATCCATTGCTCCGTGTCCACTTCTCTGGAGCAGCAGAAAACAACCTTTCTCCCTCCTCTATATGACATCCTTTTATATATTTGAACATGGCTATCATATCACCCCTTAACCTCCTCTTCTCCAGGCTAAACATGCCCAGCTCCCTTAGCCGTTCCTCATAAGGCATCATTTCCAGGCCTTTGACCATTTTGGTTGCCCTCCTCTGGACACGTTCCAGTTTGTCAGTGTCCTTCTTGAACTGTGGTGCCCAGAACTGGACACAGTACTCCAGGTGAGGTCTGACCAGAGCAGAATACAGTGGCACTATTACTTCCCTTGATCTAGATGCTATACTCCTATTGATGCAGCCCAGAATTGCATTGGCTTTTTTAGCTGCCGCGTCACACTGTTGGCTCATGTCAAGTTTGTGGTCAACCAAGACTCCTAGATCCTTTTCACATGTACTGCTCTCAAGCCAGGTGTCACCCATCTTGTCATGGGAAGGGGGAAACAGGGGCCAACTTATCTGTGTAGAAAATAGAAACCAAGACTGGGGAGAATTATTGGGGAAGGAGAAAACTGAGGACTAGAATCTTTAAAGTGTCACAGAGCACGGCAGAGAGTCAGGCCTCCGATTCTCTTAATTTTATTAAATACGAAACCCCATATTTTGCTGAAGCCTCTTCTTCTTCTGCCTCAAACACTTCCAGCTCCAGACAGAAAATCTCTAGTGACTGACGCCTGTCTTCTCCATCCTCTTGCAGTTTGGGTGTGACTCACCTCCATGGACCACCCTGTGATAACTGGGATCCTGGGATCATCTGCCTGAGGGCGATCCTAACCGTCTGAAGCAGCTGGGTGCTTAGCTGGCCCCCTCTCAGTAGATCTCCTGCTCCAGGTCGATCCCTTCTTGAGGGAGAAGAAGCAAGTCATAAGGGAAGGTGGAGAACCAAAGGACTGACTCTTCTCTTCCAGAGCCTCCTGGACAGAAAGGAAACGCTGGGATTGGGAGGCAGAAGATGACCCAAATAACACAGCCTCAGGTAGGTAAACAATCGTAGGCGTGTTTACTCAGAAGTAAGCCTTGCTGAGCTTTGTGGGCTTCTAAGTAGCTGCACATAGAATTGCAAGCTTAAGCTGTCCAGCCTAGGACTGATCAACGTTGACTTTCCAGGTTGTACAATAAAGACCGGCCGCGTTTAAGAAAAGTCCAGACATGGTTACAGTGGAAACTCATCTTCAGGACCTGATACCTTTTAATTTATTTTTTAAGAGCAGGTTCAGGTGATTGAGTGCCTGTTTGTTTAGCAGGGAGAAGGATTCTAGGCTAAATGTCTCCCTGGTGTGCTTTGGGGAGGGATTCTGCCACACACACCAATTGCTCTGAAGTTGCGCAGCGCAGACACAGGATTTCTGCCTCACTGAGAACCAGGAGCTTATTCCTCCCTCCAGAGGTTTTAGCACGTCCTCTAAGTTGAGACCATCGAACCTGGAACTGTGAAGTAGCGTCTAGGTTTTTCTTAATAGAAAAATTCTTTCAATGGCTTTTTTGTGGAGGGGATTGGATGGTGCGGAGTTTAAGGTTTTATTTATTTCTTGTTTTAACTGGTGAATAAGTACTTAGGCTGTGGGACGTTGGTGGTGCTGTGGTCTAAACCACAGAGCCTAGGGCTTGCCAATCAGAAGGTTGGCAGTTCGAATCCCTGCGACGGGGTGAGCTCCCGTTGCTCGGTCCCTGCTCCTGCCAACCTAGCAGTTCGAAAGCACGTCAAGTGCAAGTAGATAAATAGGTACCGCTCCAGCGGGAAGGTAAATGGCATTTCCGTGCGCTGCTCTGGTTCGCTAGAAGCAGCTTAGTCATGCTGGCCACATGACCCAGAAGCTGTATGCGGACAAACGTAGACTCCCTTGGCCTATAGAGCGAGATGAGCGCCACAACCCCAGAGTCGTCCGCGACTGGACCTAATGGTCAGGGGTACCTTTACCTTTAAGTACATAGGCTGCTGAATATGTTTCTGAGCATGGCATCTAACCGGGTGGTGAATTGCGCAAGTGGTTTCCTGAGTGTGCAAGCTGTTTTCAGGAAACCTGTCATTGAGGCTGGCAGAAAACAAAAGTTTCAGCAGGCTTGTGTGTGGCTTGCTCAAGACTCATCTGATCTCTGCCCAGTAGGGGTGTCATTTGAAACCTTGCCTCCCCAGCTCGTTGCTCCATCTCTTGGGAACTTAGGAATCATAGAACTGTAGAGTTGGAAGGGATCCCAGGGGTCATCTAGCCCAACCCCCCAAAATAAAGGTGGTGCCTTATCTGGTACTCAGTGGCTCAGCATTGCCTACATAAAGGGGGAAGACCTATTTTTGGTTTCGCGAGTCAGGTGCTAATTAGGATCAGCATTATGGGCAGAATGCGACTGGTGGGCGGGGCCCATATGGCAGTCACATGTCCTCATGATGATGTCACATAATTGACAGGTGATTTGCCCCACCCACCTGTCCGAAATCCCTTGCACGTTGCGCTGCTCAAGGGACATTGTTTCCCATCATTTCCCAAAGCACCAAGCATGGAGCTAGCAAACTGTTTCTTTCTCCCCACCCTATGGGGAGGTGAGGACAAAGAAGGGGGCCTTTTATGGGCATCGCTGCTGCGTGCAAGAGGAATCCCTCGAAAAAGCAGGTTTCATCTCTCCATGTTATGCACACCAGCAGAGAGAGAATAATTCCTATAAAACCCAAGATGCATGGCTTGAAAAGTCACTCTTTCTCCCTGCTCAGACTCAACAGCAGCAGGCACAAAGGATGGGGAGAAAAACAGAGGGTTAGAGAGGGTGGGAGAAAAACCCTTTAGCTACAGTTTCCAGCAACTGGTATTCAAAACAATTTCCAGGGGGACGTCCTGCACTCGGTGCTCACTCCAGCTTGCCACTAGTAAAGGGACCCCTGACCATTAGGTCCAGTCGTGGCCGACTCTGGGGTTGCGGCGCACATCTCGTTTTACTGGCCGAGGGAGCCGGCGTACAGCTTCCAGGTCATGCGGCCAGCAGGACTAAGCCGCTTCTGGCGAACCAGAGCAGCACACGGAAACGCCGTTTACCTTCCCGCTGGAGTGGTACCTATTTATCTACTTGCACTTTGATGTGCTTTCGAACTTCTAGGTTGGCAGGAGCAGGGACCAAGCAACGGGAGCTCACTCTGTCCGGGGATTCGAACCGCCGACCTTCTGATCGGCAAGTCCTAGGCTGTGTGGTTTAACCCACAGCGCCACCCATGCCCCTACCCGCTTGCCACTAGAGGGCACTATAGGAATACACATGTTCTTCTTCTTCTTTGGTGATCACTGAGTAACTGAGTACTGAGTAGCTGAGTAAGATTGTCTTCCATAAACACAGTTTTAACAATGAGTCTGTAAGTGACTGTGGAGGCCAGTTCTGGATCCACACGTCCTTCCACAGTGGGGACATTGGTTTCTGGGTGGGAGTTGATCATGGTGTGGATTTGCCAAGCATGCCTTCCTCTTAGCACATTTCTCCCTTTCATCCTGAGTTTGAACATCTTCAAAGCCCACGACACCTTTGGTCAAGGCTGTTCTCCAATTAGAGCACTCACAGGCCAGTGCTTCTCAGTTGTCATACACAGACATACCCTTAAGACAGAATTTGTGAAGGAAAAGACAATGGGGAGGTTTTTCCATTTTCCTTCACCTTGCAGAGAAATCATTTTGTCAGTTTGGGAGTCAAAATGGTTTCAGGGCTGTTTTCCTGTGCTGCTTCAGACATGTGGTTTATATATTTAGGTACGTGTTTGCTTGGTACATTGATGAACATTTATTATATATATAAGACCTTAAATTTTTTTATTTCACTGCCAAGGTATGAACCTGCCTTATACAAACAGTGAATCTTAACTGCATTTATGCCAGTGATGGGGAACCTGGTACCCCTCAGGTGAAGCTCAGCTACTCCTCGCCTCATCCCTGGCCAATGGCCATGCCGGCTGCGGATGATGGGAATTGGAGTCCAACAGTGGAGTCTGCTGGGAGTGCCATAGGCCCCCCATATCTCCCTCTAGCCAAACTCTCTCTGTCTCCACTGACAGCCTGTGTTGTTGGTTTTCTGGGGAAAGTTGACCCAGAATGTTTTCTGGGAGAACTTCCTATGCAAATTAGACCCATTTTGGGGATGCATTGAGTAAAGGAGGCCGAAAGCTACGAAACGGCCAAGCTTGCGTAATATCTGTTTGCAGTTGGCACCCGTTCACCGCAATTAACGGATGAACTTACGAAATGGGAAATTTTCCACGGGAAAACAAAAGCGCTGGAAAATTTCCTGCCCCACTTCTCAGCTGGCAGAAACTCTCCGAAAGGTTTCAACCCTGCTGGCTGAGAGGCTCTGGACGTTAGATGCTGTCCTTCTGAGCACCCACAGGTGACCTGTTTATTCAGCATTCCTCCTGATTTGCACACAACAAATGGATGCAGAGGTGGAACGATGTCTGATCTTTCTTGAGTGTTTGTTCTGATCCAAGCGCTGATTTGCTTGTGCAGCGTTTACATGGGATCAGAGAACTGTAGAGTTGGAAAGGGACCCCCAGAGTCATCTAGTCTGACCCCCTGCCATGCAGGAATCACGGCTACAGAATCTCTGGTGTCCAAACAACTTCTGTTTGTAATCCTCTCAGGAGAGAGAGCCCAGAACCTCCCAAGAATCTGGTCCCCTGCTGAACAGTTCTTACTGTCAGAAAGTGCTTCCTGATGTTTCTGGCTCACGCTTGAACCCCCCTTGCGAATACGGTCTGGGAGGCACGCTCTGTTCCTCTTACTCTCTCGTAACAAACACACAAACGCACGCCCACTTCAACCATTAAGCTACCGAGCCTCACCTTAAGGCAAGCGACAGGGCGATGTTGCTAGGCATTTCCTGGTTAGTAGCGGTGGTTGTCGTTTTTATTAGGGTTCGGATGAGTGGCCTTCGATTTATGCCAGCTGCCTTCGGAAATATAAGGGATGTGTGTGGATAATCTTAAAAATGAGGAGGGGCTCTTCCCGACCCTGATGGCAGCTGTGAAAATGGGAAGAGGGTACCCACGATGCGAGAAAGGGCAGGGAGAAGTCAAGCTGCAATCTGAGAGCACGGCTCGGGGTCGCCCGACTCGAGGCAGAACAGGCTTTGGCTGTTTATCTGCCCAAATCCTCCCTCACTGCAGGGCTGGGGTGGCAGCGGCAGCGGAAGATGTTGGATTTGGCCTATGGGAGGGATTTGCAGTGGTGAGGGTAAATATAAGAGCCTAAGAACATTAGGAGAGACCCTATGGATCAGACCAAAGTCCCGCTCTGCAGCCATTAATGCGCCATAACTATAGGGCTGGGATTTGTGTGGAAGGAAGTCTATCTATTGTGACGTCATTACAGTCATACTTCGGGTTACAGACGCTTCAGGTTGCGTTTTTTCGGGTTACAGACCGCCGAAACCCAGAAGTACTGGAATGGGTTTTGGTGGTCGTGCATGCGCAGAAGCGCTAAATTGCGCTTTGCACATGCGCAGAAGCCCCATGTTGCGACCTACACATGCGCAGATGCACCGCTGCAGGTTGCGGACGCTGCGGGTTGCGAACGTGCATCCCGCATGGATCACGTTCGCAACCCGAGCGTCCACTGTACTTTCTTCAGTAGGGCCACTGCATATTATTATTGTTGTTGTTGTTGCTGTTATTATTATTATTTCTATTTATAGATATAAATAGATATATCTGTGTGCCTTTTCCCCACAGGCTGCTCACACAGATTAAAACAACACCAATTAAAGACAAAAATTATTATTATTATTATTATTATTATTATTATTATTATTATTATTTCATAATTTGTACTCCACCCATCTGTCTGGGTTGCCCAGCTAAAAAGTAATTAAACTACAATAGAATTGAAATGATATTTTTAAAAAACCCACACCACTATTGGAATATAGATAATAAAAGCAGGACAGGACTTCCTCATCAATAACATCTGGCAATAGTTCATCTCTCGTCCGTGACCCCTCCAAAGAATTTGA